AGACAGATTCAACTTGCTACCCCCGCCCTCCCCCCCCACTGCCCTCCATCTCTTCTAATGTCAGCATCCACCAGATTCCAAGGGCCAGGGGCCCCAGGAGGACCCCTGAAGGGAGCATTCAGTCTCAGCACCCCACCTGTGCAGCAGCTTCCAACACCCACAGACTGCACATGGAGCTCCCCCATCACACACACACACACACACACACACACACACACACACACACACGTCCACTGCAAAGCTATCCAAACACAAACTGCCTCCCCAGACGCCTGTCATCCCTGAGCAACACTCAGCACTTCTGAGCCAGCGCCGCGCAGTCCCCAGCAGCCTCTCGGCCCCACACCCCACTCCCAGGACGCGGAGGGGAGGCAGGTCTGCGGGGCCTCCTCCGGCTGCACTGGGGACCCTCCAAGCATGCGATGCGCGGTGTGCAATCTGACTTACCCAGAGAGAAAAAGAGACCGAGCCCTGTGAGGCCGAAGGCAGGGCGAGGGAGCCAGGCATGTCTGTGCATTTCCAGAGCCTGGGAGCACTGGGATGTGGGCAAGGGCGGCTGAGGGCTACGCGGGAGGAATTGTTAGGGGCCAAAAAAAAAATAAATAGGATACACGGGTGTACTGCAATGACACACACGGCATTAAGGAAGCTTTATTTCCATCTCTCTAATATGGCCGGCCTGTATATTGCTGCTAAAAAGAACGAGGGAGTGTGTGAGGGAGAGAGAGAAAAGGGGGATGGAGTAAATCTTGCGGTTGTTGGATTTCAAACGGCAGGTGGGAGGGCGTAAAAAAGTCTTTCTGAAAAGAAGCAAGTTCCCCGGAAATGTTTACCCTCGAAAACAAGAACTAAAGCAGACCCTGCCTTTCTTCTTGGTTGGGTTTTGAAAGCTGTTAGAGGAACCCCTTTATTTCAAAGCTGCTGTCAGGGTGAGGGGACACCCCAAAAAAGGAGACACTTGTTCATGTTATTTGGAAAGCATTCGGGGAAGTGAGTCAGGAGACTTTGGGGAAGTAGGGACTTCCTCATTATTCTGGCATTTTCACTGAAATCAGAGTATGTCAAAGCGAGCTGGTGCGAACGCACCTAAGTGGTCTTACAGGGGATGTAAGGCACATCCCAGCCGTGCGGGTGAGGGGCCACGCCAACCTGATGAGCTCGGGGAGGCCTGCGTGGTGGCCTTGCCACCTAGAGACCCAGAATAACCACAGAAGATGGTCTGAAATGAAAACTGTTTAACTAAAAGCCGTTTAAGGCAGGTGTCATGTCCTAGGCTAGAATCTTCCCTGATAAAGGCCGGTCTTTTTATTGTTGAGAGAACACACATGTTCCCCACTTTTCTTCCCTTTGCCCCCCTCTGCCAGCTCCCGCCCACCCCAGGCCTTCACCACACTATGGTCTGTGTCTGTGGCTATGTATGTATGCATGCACATCCTTGGTCACCTGCTCCCACCCACCGCCCTCTGAGAGCTGTCATTCTGGGTCATTTGTCAGATTCTTTTATTCATTAGATTCCACACATGAGGGAGATCATGTGACACTCGTCTTTCTCTTACTGACATACTTCACTTGGCAGAATGCTCTCCAGGTCAGAGATCCTTCATTTTTACTGCTGCATAGTATTCCATGGTGTAGATGTACCACGGCTTTTTATCCACTCATCTGCTGATGGGCACTTGGGCTGTTTCTAGACCTTAGTTATTGTAAATTGTGTTGCTATGAACATAGGGGTGCATGTATGTATCCTTTCTGATTGGTGCTTCGGGTCTCTTAGTATACATTCCTAGAAGTGGGATCACTGGGTCAAATGGCAGTTCCATATTTAATTTTTTGAGGAAACTCCATACTGTTTTCCATAGTGGCTGCACCAGTCTGCATTCCCACCAACAGTGCAGGAGGGTTCCTTTTTCTCCGCATCCTTGCCAGCACTTGTCATTTGTTGATTTGTTGCTGGTAGCCATTCTGACAGGAGTGAGGTGATACCTCATTGTGGTTTTAATTTGCATCTCTCTGATGATCAGGGACTTTGAGCATTTTTTCATGTTCTGTACATTCTCTTTGGAGAAGTGTCTATTCAGGTCTTTTGCCCATTTATTTTTTTTTAAATTGGGTTATTTGTCTTTCTTTTGTTGAGCTATATCAGTCCTTTATATATTTTGGAAATTAACCCTTATCAGATGTGTCACTGGCAAATATGTTCTCCCATTCCGTGGGTCACCTGTTCATTTTGTGATGGTTTGGTGTTTGCTGTGCAGAGCTTTTTAGCTTCATGTAGCCCCACTTGTTCATTTTTCCCTTTGTTTCTCTTGCCCTAGGAAACATATCAGCAACATTTTTTTTAAAGATAGAGGAAAAGGGTAATAAGCCAAGGAATATGGCCGTGTTTGGAATGGAAAAGGCAAGGGATGCTCCCCTACAGCCTCCAGAAAGCAATGCAGCTCTGCCTCTGCCTTGGTTTTAGCGATGTGAGACCAGTGTCAGACTCCTAACCGACAGAACCGTAGGATAATAAGTTTGTGTTGTGAAAACCAAACAGCCCAGCCAGTGTGGCTCAGTAGTTGAGCATCAACCCATGAACCTGGAGGTCATGGTTCCATTCCTGGTCAGGGCACATGCCTGGGTTTTGAGCTCAATCCCCAATCTGGGGCGTGTGGGAGGCAATGGATCAATTATTCTCTCCCATCATGGGTGTTACTATCTCTCCCTCTCCCTTCCTCTCTCTGAAATCAATTTTTTAAAAAAACACTCTTCAATGGTTTCCATGCTCAAATAAAGGTCACTCTTTTACCTCAATGGAGCCTGTCTGTGGTCTTTTGCATCTAACAGGCCTTTGGAATGTCAGGGTAACTTCCCTTCCTCCAGACCCCTCAGGGCACAGCCACTGCACCAGAGCAGAGACTACAAATGCCCTTGTTGTTATTTTTATGTTGTTAACTGCTAACTACTATCCTGTACCCACTGTTAGACCCGAGCGAGGACAAAGGGCAGGTACAGAAGGTCACCAGGGCAGAAAGCTCCAGGTGCCCAGCAAGGGGCAAAGCTGGGAAAACAAGCGCCTCGCCCCCAGGGTGACCTCTCCTCCCCTCCCACATCACTGGTCCTGCGGTTTGGACCCCGATCTCTCATATCCCTGGTGAGGCGGTTTAGACCCCTGACCTTTCCTCCCTAGAGATAACATCAAGGCCTCAGTTGCATTTCGGCTCCAGGCCCAGAAAAGCAGCAAAACCAGACAAGTGACACAGTGGCTGCCTCAGGACCAACTCTACTGACCAATGACCCCTGGCCCTGGTGCTGACCAATCAGCGGAGACCACGACCCTGAAAGAGCTCACCTGGGAAGCAGATGAATTTTCTGTTAAGGCCCTGAGCCCTCCCCTAAGATTCCCACCTGCAAGAGAGAGAACTATGCTCAGAGCAAAGGACCCCATGTGCACTCTCCCTCCAAGGAGCACACCTGTGCCCTTCCCTTCCCCTCTCCTTCCTCCACAGGCACGTCTCCCCCAACCTCTAAGGGCCCCCATGAGACTGCAACCAGGGAGCCGTGGACATTAGTAGCTAGTCCCGGGCTAAACCCCTGAAGCGGTCTCCAGCCCCATCCCCTTTTCCTTAAATAAATTCAATTTTCTTTAATCACCATCTGAGATGCACCACCGACCTTAACCTTTCACCCCCTGTGTATGTGTCTGTCCATCATTTCACTTTTTATCCAATCCCTGAGATGCCCTCTCCTTCCACTTTGCTTCCTCCCGCCTCCCTGACCTATCACCAATGGGTCTCCTATGCCCCATTATGTCTCCTCTGTTGGTTGAATGTATAAAACAAGGTGGAAACTGCCATTCCCTGGGGCATTATCTCCATGAGGTGAGACTTTGCTTCCCTGTCCACAGTTTGGCTCAAATAAACTCACAGAAGTTCTCCACAGGTTTGAATGCTTCTTACGTGGGCAGTAAAAAGACATTCCCGAGACAATTGGGGGGAAATGCATATAGTCTGTGTAATTGATTATATTAATGTAAGTTTATTAATTTTGTTAGGTATGAAAAGTGTTGTGCTATGTGCTCTGAGAGCTTTATCTGTCACACGCCAGAAATTTTACAGGTAAAATGATATGATGCCTGGAATTTGCTTAGAGATATTCCGGGGGGACAGGCAGGAGGGAGGCGGTGTCAGTGTTGGAACTGGCGGTGGTGCCGCGGTTCATGACACAGTTCTCTCGTCTATTGCATATGCTTGACATTTTTCTTTAAAAAGGAAGGAAAAATAGGCTAAAACCAAGAGTAGGAGAGCTTGGGGTAGAGTCCCAAGGGCCTCTAAGCAGAGAAGATCACCCCACTTTCTGGGAAGACATTTAAGTAGGTCCTCAGGCGGCAGCCACATGCGGCCTGACATTTTTTTTTTTTCCAATGAGAAAACAGCGGTTGGCAGGTCTTAGCCACCGGGGGTTATTTGTGTATGTGTGTGTTTTAAATATATATTTTTTATTTCAGAGAGGAAGGGAGAGAGAGAGAGAGAGAGAAATGATGAGAGAGAATCATTGATCGGCTGCCTCCTGCATATATCCCACTGGGGATCGAGCCCACAACCAGGGCACGTGCCCTGACCTGGAATCGAACCAGTGACCTCCTGGTTCATAGGTCAACGCTCAACCACTGAGCCAGGCCGGCCGGGCCTAGCCACCAGTTTGACATGTGTACAGTAGCCAGGTAGTCAGAGCTGGGGTTCACGGAGTCTGTGTGGAGCACTGGGCATTCCCAGCATGCCACACTGCCACCAAGAGGGGGGCCTTGCCTCGGCTTGTCTAGGGCCACAGAGGGGCCAGGGCCCTGCCTGTGCTGAAGAGGAAGGAGCCAGGGCAAGGCCTGCAGGAGCAGGGCAGGCCAGCTCAGGGCTCGGCTCAGAGCAGACACTCAATACACAGGAGCTGCGTGGCTGCACAGCCCTGCCCCGCCCCCCTGAGTGGGTGAACGAATGGATCTGGAGAGGGAGTGAGGGGAAGCAGCCATCATGGTGAAGGTAGTGGGGCCCAGCCTCGGCCTCTGGGTCAGAAGGGGGAGGGAAGGAGGCCAGGTGTGGTGGCAGGTGCTGGAGCCAGAGGGCTGACGGAAATGCTGGCGCTCTCTCCCCGCTGAGGGGTGTCCATGCCTGGACCTTATACAGACTCTGTCCTCAGGTACCCTCGTCGGTATGCTAGCGTATGGCCCCGCTGGCTCATCCCAGGACACACAGCCCATGGGAATGAAAATCAGGGAAGGAGAAAGGGGGCGACCCAGGGAGAAGTGTCCCCCGACCCCCACCCCGTGCCCGTGGCCACAGCAGGCTCCTCCCGGCTGCCCCCTCCCCGCCCCCCACCTGCAGCCCAGTCCCTGCTGCCTGTGCAACCAGGGCCTTGCTGAGGCTCAGCCTCCTTCAGGTCCCAGGCTGCACCCAGCCGCCCAGGCTGCCGCAGGCACATGTCAGCCGGAGAGTTTTGGTTTGACGTGGCCGGCCTCCTCCTTTTTCGTAATGCAGCTGAGGGTGCCCGTGCGGCCCAGGGAAGCCGCTTCTCCCGCTCACTTGGTCTCACACTGGGTCCAGGAGCTTCCATTTGGGGACATTTGAGATAAGAAGTGGATCCAACCCTGGTCAGGGTGTGGCTCAGCTGGTTGAGCATCGTCCTGTGCACCAAACAGTTGCCAGTTCCATTCCTGGTCAGGCCACATGCCCAGGCTGCAGGCTTGATGCCCAGCAGGGAGCATGCAGCAGGCAG